CGAACGCGGCCGTACTATACAGTATTTTTTTTAATTTTAGTTAATAGTTAATACTATTAACTACAACATACCACTATAATTAATAAATATACAAGTATATATATATATATATATATATATATATATATATATTTTAAAAAACAAGTTGGATCCAGATTGGATTCACCTATACCCGAATTCGACCCGGATTACTATTTGGATTTAAAATTTGGATTCTGATCTGAATTTTGGATCCAAATATTGGATCTATACCCGAGCCAGATAAGATCTGAAATTTTGGGTTTCAGATCTGGATCAGGTAAATTCTCAGCCCTAGCAAGGAATCAATGCATTTTGTGTTGTATATCCAAACAAGAGATTTGAGGAATCCATGACAAGAATCCTTGATATTTGATATCTATAAACTTTTTGAATTTCTCAAAAAGAGCGAGAGATAAGCCTAAAAAGAGATGATTTGAAGCATTGTGAGAAAAAATATAAGGAATTATATACTGGGAGTATGACACTTGATAAACCTTAAATTATTAGAAAAAACCCATGATGAGATATTTTTTGATTTCAAATATCCAAAATTTCTAATTTCCCCATATCCAAAAGCAATAGGCAAAGAAATCTACTAAACAAAGAAGATTATAAAATTTATTAGTAAAAATTCAATGATCTTTTTCCACTCTCTCTCCTTTCCCAGTAAAGAGCAACATTGAGAAGAGGCCTTACATGTTTGGCGCTCTCTTTGTCATCCTCTCTTCTAAATGATAATTTTCTCTTTTGCTTTTTTTTTTTTTTCAATAAGCACTTTCTCTTTCTTCATACCTCTATTGGTTTTCGGCTTTCTTTTTTTCCCGGCTTTCTTGGTTTCTTTCACTAAGATTATCTTTCCCTTTGGCTTCTTCGCTCTTTGTCGCTCTCACAACTACGACGGTGGAAGTTCTCTCTAGGAGTGCATTTAATAACTTTTTCTGCAGTTTCTTCGAAATTCTCCCTACTGCCAACTTTTTTTTAGAAGTAGATAAAAATTAGTAGCTTGAAAGTTAGGGACCCTATTTGATGAATTGTGATGCTAGTATTTGCACCTGTTTAGCATTGAAAAAACTAATATATATATATATATATAAAAGGAAAAGTTTATATGGAGCCGAGGCTCTAAACAATCAAATTTGAACCTACCTCAAAAAGTTCACTAGAAAAGGTCTTTTTTATGCCCAAATATCTTCAAATTGATCATCTTGACATCAAGATGCATGGACATGAGAAAAAAATAGATTTCAAGTTTTGGAAGTAGTGTATTTTGTAACGCATTTTTAGACCGTCAATTTTCAAGATTTTCAAGTTTTCATAGAGCTGTCGATCTATACTATTTTTTAAGCTTTGAACTTTATAAACAAATATAAAAATATATTTTAAAGCTATCACAAAGATTTCCAATAATAAAACAACATTTGTCGACACTATTTGAAGGTAGGCTCTATACAAACAGCACCCGTATATATATATATATATATATTACAATATAATATTATTTAATATGTAACATATTATATTATAAAATATTATATAAAATATGATAATATTATGTGTAATATAATAATTTATGTATATTATGTTGTAACGTATAATATAAACGATATAGTATTATATTTGTTGATGATTTGTAAGTCTCTCTAAAAGTGACAGCGCAAGAGTGCATATGGTCTGCCACTTTTCTCATTGAAATAGTGAAATGGGGAAAAAATAAGTTCTGATTTTTCTGTTCTCAAACGAGTGAAAACTACAATAGACTAGA